AGCAGCCGGCATGGTTGGCCAGGAGGGTTCTGATTGATGCAAGAAATCTGGTCCATTAGCCCAGCGGCATGATGGTGTCAACTCCTTTAAGGATTTTCCACGGGTTAAGTCATCTGCTGCATTATTTCCTGAATCCACATACCTCCAGGAATTAATGCCTGTGAGGGACTGAATTTCAGCAACTCGAGTTCCTACGAAGACCTTATACCTGCAGGAGTCAGACAGCAGCCAGTGAAGGACGGTGGTAGAATCTGACCAGAGGATGACTTGCCTGATGGTGACTGTGAGCTCCCTTTGGAGGACTTTGGCCATCTGTGCTCCAGTAAGTGCTGCACTCAGTTCAAGTCGTGGCATGGACATTTGCTTCCTGGGTGCTACACGTGAACGAGCCAACATGAATGAAATGTGTATATGGCCATTCTTGTCTTCTGTGCGTAGATATGATACTGAGCCATATGCTCTTTCAGATGCATCACAGAAGATGTGCAGGTCTCTGATGAACGTTTCCTCATGTACTTGAAATGGAGTGTAGCATCTGGGAATCTCTAGCTGTTCCAAATTGGGCAGTTCCTGTACCCAAGTTTGCCATCTGTTTTGTAGGCTGGCAGACTCAATGAGGTTATCCCATCCCAGGTGAAATTTCCACAGGTCCTGAACAAGTATCCAGACATAAAGATACCTCTGGGTGGCATCGTTGGGCTTTCATACACTGCTGTTAAACACAACTTTAAAAAATAAGTTTAAATCAATTAATAACCTTTAGCTTATAGCACATCTATAGCATGTCTATCTTTAATGACTTGAAATTGAGTTAAAAATCAATTCTCCTATGAAAAAAATAATTTGATTTTTACTTCCGTAGAATGGAATCATTCTACAATCTGCTATTTTTGCTGTTCTTTGTGGTCACACTGGTAATGCAGAAATGACACGCTTCTCGTATAAAGAAGTGAAGGTTAATTTAATTATCAACACAACATAATTTGCTTTATTTTTTACCCTGTCTTGTTCTGCAGATGTCAGGATGGAGTGTTGTGATGTGGAGCCGCGCTATACCATTGAACAGATTGACCTGCTCCAGCGTTTAAGGCTGTCAGGGATGACGAAACCTCAGATTATTCAAGCCCTTGAGTCTTTAGAGAGGCTCGATCCAGACCATCGTACCCCATGCTGCAACAATCACTCGGCCCCACCCAGTGCCCCTACCTCCGCAGCCCCTGCTGCTCCCTCGTCCTCCTCCTCTTCCTCCTCCTCTCTTACATCAGCCACCACACAAACCCCTGTTATGGATGCTGCATTATCGCCTAGCAACAGCTATGATGCCTCGCCCCCACCCATGTACCCACCCAGCGGAGTTCAGAGGTCGTTTAGTTATGACTTGGCAGAAGAGGACTGGGATCTGGAGGAGAAGGTGGAGGAATACATGAGGTAGCTTTTATGAGCTGCTTCTGTGGGCTTCTCTTCTCAGGTCTACTGAGAGGTAGAGATTAATATAACAGCTGATAATGACAGTGAATGTCCCTGAGCAACAGTGTAATTTTCAGAGAACAAGAGCCCTTTCTGAATCAGGTCAGGTGGACATTTGGTTCAAATTGATACTTTTTCTGTTACTTTTTGGCTCTGGAGAATGGCACATGAAACAGTATGTTCCCCATTTAAGGCAAGACACACAGGTGAATAGGGGAATAATTAACTAAAAGAGATCACCAATACTTCTCCAGTTGATTGATAACGTTAAGAATTGCAAACGTTTTTGTAATACAAGTTTTCTGAAATGTTATGCAATACTCCAATGCGCAAAAGAAGCATTATCTAATAAGTATGCACTCATTTCCTGAACAGAAATCTGAACATTGTAAAAAGCCAGGTTCAACATTTTTGTTTTAATGTATTGAAATATTAAATTCAAAGGTTTTTACAGTCAGCAGACAGAAACAAATCACCATATTTTTAGGTATAAAAGCTAAATGTGAAAATCGTGGTTGTAATTCATGAATAGTTGAAAGGTTGGTCTCTTTTTAAAGTATACAAACAGCAGATTATTGAAATGAAAGCATTTCAATAAATGAAAGTGTAAAATATTTACTGTAAAGAAAAAGCACTGTACAATAAAATAAATATTTTCTAAAATTCTTTGGAATCTAAAATTGCTGTAAAATTAAAGCTATATGTCTAACTAATTAATGTTCCGAATTTGAAGTTGATATCACAAAAATTGAGGTTCCTGTGAGATTTTGTTTAGGTGCTACATCAAAACTCCATTGAATGTTTTAAATGCATTTTTTCTGTCACAAACGTATACATTTCTATCACGGTATTACCTCTACCACAAAATAAAAATGCTTGTCTTTGTTTGGACTTGTAGGAGGGACAGCAACCTTGTAAAAGAAGAGATAAAGGCTTTTCTCAATAACAGAAGGATCTCGCAGGCAATTGTGGGACAAGTCACAGGTACTCTGAATGCTTTCTGTCTTTCAGTGGAAAAAGTGTAGCCAACAGAGGCAGTTTTCTTATCATGCAAACCATCAGAAAATGGGGTACTTAAAGTATTGTTTTTACATCTAAATCCATTAAACATATTTATTTACTGTACATTCACAAAGTATTAATTATTTCCTGTGCTGAACAGGAGAAATATATTATACATATTTGAATTTTTTTACATGTCAAGGCTGCTCCAAAATTTTGCAGATCAAGACTGTCAGACAGAGAAAATCTAGGCCAACCACAACTTTGATAACCCAAACGTTGACATGAAGGAACAGACTGCAAGCATGCAAAACTAGTGCATGTGTGACAAGTGCATAGAGAAATTCAGACAGATGTCGAAAATGTCTGCACGACAAAATCACTGGAAACAAACTGTGATTACAAGTTTAGTTTGCATTTCCTTGCATCTTACTTTATTTATTACACAAGATTATTCTTTATACAGTGAAATATCTGCACTGGATCTCATTAAATACACAGAGTACAGATTGGGTACAGATGTGCTTGTAGTATCGAATTCAGTTTATTTCAAGGACTTTCACTTTTCTAAACATAATAGTGCGTGTCAAAAAAGTAAGATGTTTGTTTGAAATTTAAGTTTGTTGTGAGTCAATATTACATTGATCACATGCTATTTAACAATTTTATTTAAACAATATTTTAGAAATGGTTGGACCTTGTATATCTTTGTAAAATCACACCAATTAAATGAAGCAAGCAATCTTATTTTAGTATTACTTATACTATTATTATTTTGAATGAGCTTTTATTTTTATATTTGCATTTTTCATTGTAATTTTAGTTATTTTACATGCTTTTGGTATTGTGTATTACTATTTTGTTTTTCAGATTTACTTCAGTTTTATTTTTTATTTATTTTCTAGTTAGTAATTTTAGTGCTAAAACTTAATTATTTCAATTAAGTTGCAAAGGCAACATTTCAAATTTTTGTTTAGTTTCTAGTTTTTCATCTAACATTTGTATTTAATTTAATTAAAAAAATGTATTTAAATTAACAAAAATGTTTTTAATAGTTTTAGTTACCAATAATAACCCTTGGCATGGCATTTCCAGAGTATTTGGTTTTATTTTGGTGCGTTCTACTTTTCCTGCCATTTCTTTTACTGGTTATTTTCCTTTTTATGACTGTATGATATTCTGCAGGTATCAGTCAGAGCTACATCTCTCAGTGGCTTCTGCAGCAGGGGCTGGAGATGAGCGACTCCAAACGCAGGGCGTTCTATCGCTGGTACCTGCTGGAGCGCAACAGCCCAGGTGAGTTGTGGTTCCTCTGCAGGAAGATGATTTGCCAAACATAAGGCAGTGGCCTGAATTTTGGACTTGGGGCTGGCTTAAATAGGAATACAGTTTTATGTTTAGTTTTGATAATTTTTTTATTTATTTTTGGTCTTCATTTGCTATTCTGCCTTATCTTCCCTATATAGTTTGCATGGTCCTTGAGGGCTTTACATTAAAGAAATCAGGACTGTATTGGAAGGACATGCTGTGTTGCCGCACTGAATTGAAATTCAATCAACTGGTGTCATTTTCCATCAATTATGCACTTAGGTTAATGCTGTTTTTGGCACATTCAAGAAGTGTAGGTTGTGTGAGTCGGAAATGAGCCTTAAACCCTTTTAGGCTGTAACACTGCCAACACCCGCATCATCTCGCATTTATAATATAAAGAACGTGTTGATGCGTAAAGGAGCTAATTAAGTAATGTGAAGCCCTCCAGGACAACTTCTGCTCTCCATCTCCCAGGTTAGACCTTCTTCTGTAGCTCTCAGTCCTGATCCTGGGTTTGTCAAATGCTGGTTTTCATGTCCTCTCTGCACTGAGGTGCAATTAACACCTGACCCTACTAACAGAGCCCTGAGCATGACGCTTTTACATTCTCTACAGCGCTAGAGAATTGAGCATGGCTCCAAGAACCTAATCACTTTGAATGTCTATTAACACTGTTATATACAATGAAGTTTTCTCGAAGGATTTTCATTGAGCTCTGTTAATATTTGTTAACGGACGTCACCATTAACAGCAAGTTTTCGGCCCTCGAAGGGACTCTGGTTAACACCGTTTTCTGATTGCCTAAATGGGTTAAAGGAATCAGAAGGAGTGAAAACCAGCATGCTCAGGTCCCCAGGAGCAGGACTGACACTCCCTGGAATAGGCAGAGAGAACTGCTGATGCACCTCCTCCCCTGGTACTCTGCTCACCAGTCCCAGTCAGGTAACGTCTATGCAGCAGGGAAACACAGCTTCAATTCAGTACACCTGGTTCTGGAAATTAATATTTGTTCTCTCTGAGTCTTAAGCCACCTTTTCACAATCTCCAAAAATAATAGACCAGAAGTCATTCATTTCCAGTGGAGAGTAGTACGGCAGTTGCGTAGAGTTCTGATCGTATGCATAAGTGAAATTTCAGATCCGATTTGAGCTTCGGATGAGTTGAAATATTTTAACTTTTGCAGCTAGACCATATGCGATTCTAATAAGATATTCTAAAAAAAATTGTGAGATTAGAATGAACAATATTCTTGCACTAGTACATTATTCTTTAAATACTATTTTCGTAAAACAGGCAGTTATAAAAAATCTGAAATACTAATTACAAAATTCATTAAGTTGATTAGCGCTAGAAAACCTATTGGGCTTTTCTTTCAAGCGTATTGCGGTCATTTGTTTTGTGTGGAAATACACGTGCGTCACAACCAGTTACGACTGCCACTAGGGGGCGAAATGCGACAAACGTCCGGAACTAGTGGAAAGGTGGTTTTAAAATCTTTTAGAATGGCTCTTTAGATTTCATAGAACATTACACTCTCATGTGTTCTAAACCTGTATGACATTCTTTCTTGCATGGAACACAAATGCAATGAAAGTGGATGGGGACCAGGGACCATTTTATGGAAAAGAGCAGCAGACAATCTGCTTTAAGTATCTCCTTTTGTGTTCCATGGAAGACAGTCATAGTGTTTTGAAACAATTTCAGAGTAATTAAACAACAAAAAATTATATTTTTGTATGACATTCTTTCTTGCATGGAACACAAATGCAATGAAAGTGGACGGGGACCAGGGACCATTTTATGGAAAAGAGCAGCAGACAATCTGCTTTAAGTATCTCCTTTTGTGTTCCATGGAAGACAGTCATGGTGTTTTGAAACAATTTCAGAGTAATTAAACAACAAAAAATTATATTTTTGTGAACCATCCCTTTATTTGTGTTTAACTACATGTGTGGTGAATTCATATTTGCTTGTCTTTTGGTTTGTATGCGTTTTAAGTTCTATATTCCCTATTTTTGGATAATGTTCATAACAGGTGCCACACTGTCCATGCGTTCACTGGTTAAAGAGGAGCCTGACTGGAGGTTGGCTGGAAGCCCCGCAGACAGGGCAGCAGTTGGGCCTTTTAGACTGCGCAGAGGTAGTCGCTTCACCTGGAGAAAGGAGTGCCAGTCAATCATGGAGAGGTAAATCACAGAGCATTACTGTCTTTGACACTATTCAGACAGTAATTGTCTCTCAGGGTGACATCTGTAAAATAACATTTGCATGACTCCTTTGAGCTAAAACTCTCTAAAACGCAGACATGCTGCCGTTAAATACAAGTCTCGTTCTTTTTTTCAAGTAATCCGTTTCTGTACATATAGGAAATTATTTATGAGAGTGATAAGCACATAATACAATGGAATTAATTCCAATATGTGCATTTATAACATTATCATTTTTCTTTTAAACAATTTTCTTGAATAATTTCAAGTCCAGTGGTTGATTCACCATAGGAATTCTGAATTTTAATGGCACAAACCCCATATTTTTGTAGTGAGGTATGGTGGCAGTGTACCCTTAAATATGGAATATTTTCTTCATTCACAAGCATTTTTACACTTAATGTCATTGTCATAAACATTAAGTAGCCTGTTTTATTAATCTGCAGTGTTACACAGTGTTCTCAGGCCTTCCTTTTAGTTGAACAATGATCATGATATTACAAGTCTTGTTCTGATTCACTCTGTTTGTTCTCAGTTTCTTTATAGAGAATCAGTATCCTGATGAGGCCAAAAGAGAGGAAATTGCCAATGCTTGTAATGCTGTCATTCAAAAACCTGGTAAGTGATTGCAATCAGTATCTGAACTGCCTCAGACCCAGACTAGTTGTAACGTTGCCATCTTTGTTGTTCCCCTGCCTCACTGAATGTATAAATGCCTTTACGTATTGATTTAAATGATTAATTTCTTATATAAATGTTGTTTCAGGATGCAAACTTTCAGATTTTGAACGAGTCACTGCGCTCAAAGTGTACAACTGGTTTGCCAATCGGAGGAAGGAGATGAAGAGACGTGCCAACATAGGTGAGACGGCAAGAATGATGGTCTGACAGGTTGTCACTCATTTTAAGTGACACAAGCATTAAACGATTATCTAGGAAGCCTGAAGTTTTCTACTTTTCTCCAGTACTATCTATCTGTGGGCCCCCATCCAATAATGAACCCTGGCTACTAAAAATAATTATTTATACACTACTGTTCAAAGGTTTGGTCTCTGTAAGATTTTTGTAATGTTTTTGAGTCTCTTATTCTCACCAAGTCTCCATTTATTTGCTCAAAAATACAGTAAGAACAGAAATACTGTGGAATATTATTACAATTGAAAACAACTGGTTTCTATTTGAATACTTTTTAAAATGTTAAATATTCCCGTGATGGCAAAGCTGAATTTTCAGCATCATTACACCAGTCTTCAGTGTTACATGATCCTTCAAAAATCATTTTAATATGCTGACTTGCTGCTCAAGAAATATTTCTTATTATTTTCAATGTTGAAAACAGCTGCTAAATGTTTTTGTGTAAACATTTTTTTAGGGTTCTTTGATGAATAAAAAGTTCAAAAGAACAGCATGTATTTGGAATAGAAATGTTATAGTTCTATTATTCATTTATTCATTTGTAAGTCACTTTGGATGAAAGCGTCTGCTAAATGACTTATATATATAGGATTTGAAAGAATTGTCTTATGCTCACCAAGGCTGTATTGATTTAATTAAAGATACGGTAAAAACTAATATTGTGAAATTACAAATATTAGAATTTTTGAAAAGTATTTGAAAGTATTAAAAATGCTGTTTTCAATGTTATATATATATATATATATATATATATATAACATTTAAAAATGTAACATTTCTTTGATGTCAAAGCTGAATTTACAGCATTCTTGACGCTTAAGAATATCAATGTTGGACACATTTGTACTGCTTAATATTTCTGTTCAAAAGAACAGAATTTATTTGAATGTTTACAAATGTTAGAAATGTTTAAAACAATCCGTTCTCCTCTACTGACTTTGCACCTTCAAAATGTAAGTAAAAATGTACACACTTTACTGACTGTAATCCTGTCAAATCAGCCGTGACTGGTTTGTTTTCAACTTGTTTTTATTAGGCCTATGACTTTTAAACCAACTGCATGGCTGTAGCCAGGCTTTGAAAATTAGTGAGGTCCAGGGGGTTTCTATAATAACCCCCTTATAGAATTGTGCTATAATAACCCCTATAAATACAACTAATTATATACACTATTAACACTTTAAAAGAGACAGAAATGTAGATGTTTGTGAAAGATGTTTTCTCTGTTTTGGAGGGATGATCATTTTTAAATCATACCCTATTTATTGCATCAAAATTTGTTAATACTTTACTATATTTATGGGGTGGATACTTTTTTATCAGTTGTTTATTATTCATGCAACCATACAAATTGCTGTTATAGTTTTTATTTATAACCATTATATAGCTGATGACTTTGTCTAGTGCTCTTATGAATATTTATATAGCATGATTTGTGGAAATGTAACTACTATACTGAATGACTTGGCATGGACTTCTTCATGGCTAGTGTTTGCGTATTTCATTTCATTCTGTAATCTACTTGTTCTACAGATCTCTGCACTAGTGTTAAATGCTACAGATTTTGACAGCGTTGAACGTTTCTGACAGATAATATCATGATTTTTTAATATATAGTTTTTGCGTTTCCCTTACCGAATCGTATCTTGTCAGCAATAACCTGTCCATGGACTTTTTTGATTACTGCCAGTTTAAGTGCCGGCGATGCAACGTTGCCAGATATTGCTATTAAAATAAACAAAAACCTATAAATAAATAAAAATAAACAAACTGAAATTATTTAAAATCTTTTGCGAATAAGATAAATATATCGCTGACCCTAAGCCGCAAATTCCTACTTTATTAACTATCTAAACTATTAAATTAAGTGGAAAAGACAAGTAAAAAACGCTTATAATAGCTGGAGCTGGCAACACGGAGGCTGCGCGCTCGCGCCCTCACTCACAACTCTCAAGCCTGTTCAGTCCGCCAGCGTCTCGCTGCGATCATTTTATACCACGGACGCTAAACATTCTGAATTATACATGCATACATTCATATTAGGAGTTTAACAGCAGATTAGTCGTTCAGAGAACACATTTTATTTTTGAACATGAAAAATTGACCGAGGTCCGGACCTCGGTGACCTCAGCTGGCTTAAGGCCCTGTTGTATGTAGTTTTGTGTGTTTTTGCGACTTTGGAGCCCCATAGTTAACTGAGTGGAAATCACTGTCGTAAATATAGCAATACATGTTCATTTGTTGCTGCAGTAAAGCAATATTTTCGCGTAATTTCGTACCCGCTCACCGACTTTACATACTCTTTGAACGGACTTTTAGCGGGAATAAGCGTGAGAAAGATACCATCAGTCAGGATACCATCAGAATGATTTTGAAATTGATTTCCCTGCCTCACTTACTTCAAGGTAAGAGATAAAAAACGTATAGTTGCTTTAAAGTGCAGCCTTTTACCCTGATGTTTACTGATATCTGGTCATTAAAAAAAAAAAACATTGGTGTAACTTTGCACTTCAGACTCGAATGTGAATGACTTTAAAAATCTTATATAGCCTAGCAGTAATTCTGTTACGGAGGGAAGGATACGAGAAGGCAGGGTCGGATCCAAGTGCCGCTTTATTGTCACAGCAAGTCCAACACAGGCAAAAGGTAAACACAGGAACAGACGACTTAAACTAAGGCTCAGGAAACGCTCTGCACGGCGCAGTCGCAACCAGACAGACAATCATAAACTTCAATCAATACTTGGCAGTGAGTGTGTGTGTGTGTGAGCGACATTTATAGAGCTCCTGATGGACAACAGGTGTGTGTGTGTAATTAATTAGTTCCAGGTGCGGGGCTTGTGGGAAATGTAGTCCATGGTGAGAACTGACTGACATCGTGACAAATTCAGTTTAAGTCAGTGGTGGACTATGATTGTGCTGCGGCATTTTCTTTTCGGTAGAATGGATGCCTAGTTCCGCCACTGAATGAAAAAAAAGGTAATTGGTAAAAATGTAAAAAGTCAGTTCTGACTTTTTTATTCTCAGATAAACTCGCAATTGCGCGTTATAAAGTCAGAACTGCGGTATATAAACTCGCTATTGCGAGAAATGCTAGATATAAACTCACAAGTCTTTTTTTCGCAGTTGCGAGTTTATATCTCAAAATGTTTACTTTTTTCTCAGAAATGTGAGATATAATCTCGCAATTGCAAATGAAAAAATCCAATGTGTTTTACTCTAGAACACCCTGGCTGGACTGCGGGGTGATGTTTGATGGTTTCAGTATTATGATGTCTACCACTGTTAGCTTTTCTTTACCTTCTTTTGCTCTCATTGGATGAATGACGGTGTTGAATATGTAATGCTATTGAAATCCTTTTTTTCCCCCATCGAACTAAAGAACACCATGAGTGCATTAACATTTCAAAGGAGTAACTTCAGGCTTCCCAGTCAATCAAAATTATTATGAGTTACATAGTTTTATGCATTGTAATGATGCCCCTTTTGAAAGGCAGTGCTAGCATGCAGAGATTTTATTCTTGCACAAGATCTGTAGCTAAGGTGAAAAGACAGAACAAGCTGTTACTGGATTGTTATGTGTAAATGGAGACAGAAGAGTCGTCCTCAGGGTCGTTTATTGGATTGTTGCTGTCCATGGTGCTGCAGGTGTACGTGTATTAGAGTAACACTGCATGTAATAGACACTGACTTTCATGCACTTTTTGTATAAAGCGGGGTTATACATCTCTTCAAAGATCACAGGAACATGATCTTGAAAAATGAAAAGAAAGTGGTCTAACAGAATCTCTGAAAACAGCCATTCTGAATGCTTCTTTGTCACAGGGATGATGGATTGTGGAAAATTACACAACTTCACAATCAAGGCGTTGGGGGTGTTTACACGAGAATGGCTAAATTGCCCTGGCAAGCATTATTGTGGTGGATCCATCATTGCAAACAAGTGGCAAGTATTCTCTGAAGCTTACTGTCTCTTCCTGTAAGTACACTCACAAACTCTTTGTACGTTTCCAGCTGAAATATATAACAATAAAAGTATTTTGCTGTAGCTAGTCAAAATTCAAGACACGATGCCCACAATAACATAAGCCATTTTCAATTGGAAGTTAAACTAAAAGGAACATCATTTTACATGATTAAGGAATATTCAGTTTCTGTCCTCACGTCTAAATATGTGGCATGAGTATGTGTGTCAGTTGTCAATTATAATTTTTAATAATTTGTTTTGGTTGTGTTACTTGTTCTTTCTCTGTTCTTCTAATGTGTCTGTGAAGTCTGAATGTTTTTAGTGAGCAGCATCTGTGGATGCTCACGGTTGCTTCATTTACCTTTCACTCTGGACTGGCAGGGTGATTCTGGAGGTCTACTTATGTGTGAGGCTGAAAAACATGGTACCCGTCAGGGATCACTAGCTGGGGATTGGGCTGAGCAGAAGCCAAATGTTTACACACACATTTCTCACGATCTTCACTGAATTAAGAGCTCCATGGACAGTGGTATAAATCGGTGGTATCAACCATATTTTATTTAAAAGCTGAAGATATTAGAAGGCTTTTTTATGCATTAAATCCATTAATTTTGCGTAACCAAGAACCTCAAGCCTCACTAATGATGTAACTGCTGTTCATTTGAGTATTCAGATGATTTTGTCAGAATATGACCAGTAGAGGGCAATGATGTTTATTAGAGGATGAGATACTGTTATCACTGTATCTTGTAAGTAAACCGGTTTGATAGGCTCTTAGATTTTATTGTAAATTACAAATGAGTGCATGCAACCCAAGGCTGTCTTCATTGTTGTTTGAAGCTTTAATTGGAAGTTATTATTAAAATGACAAACTTCGCAATGATGAACTGTTTAGCTGGGGTGGCTCTCCTAGTACATTAAACAAGTGCTAAAATAGCCACAGTCTGCATAGTATAATGTGAAATGTGGAAAGATAAAGGCATTGTATCAAAGCAACAATACACTGGTAATGGAACATGATAAAGGAGCATGAACTCAGGTCAGACGTCCTAAACTGACTTTTTGTTCTATACAGACTGCCTTATTTTCATGTTGACAGGAAAATATCTACCCTGCCTGGTCCTCTGTGTGGGTCATATTCCTTCTTTAGAGTTTATTCCCTCCGTGGCCCCTCCCCGTGGGAAAGCTGGCCTCATGTGATTGTGGTGGCCCATACTGGAAGCTGTGGTGGCAGCACTGACTATACTGGTGCCAAAAGAATGGAGGACTAGACCCACACATGCACACACACACTCTCAAGCCTAAACATTCACTAACATAAACACACACCATGCTCACACGCTAGTCTCTCTACACACAGTCCACACGCCACTCGCATGAGAATCTGCCCTCGTTGCGCCACATCCCTCACAGACACACAGTCCCGCCACAGTCTAGCACACGCATACACACATTCCATGCCCATTTTAAAGTTCAAACTGGGCAAAACACACAAAAAAAGAACCCAGGAATCAAAAAAGCACCACATCTTCATCACATCATCATAGACCAACACTTTGATGTTTTATTTTAATTGCCCTTTTGGTGGTAAAACACATGATTATTCCGTTTTCATGGTTAACACCACTTTTAATTTGAAACGGTCTTGTAAATGATGCATACCGTCTTTCCGGTGGTGTCGCTGAAAGCTGATCTGTTTCTTATGAGTCAGACAAAATGGATGCCCTCTGTCACAGAATGTGTTCATTTGTACTTTTGTTTTAGATGCAATTTTGCTTCTTTTTTTTGTGCATTACCTGTTTCTAGAATATTTGATTCTGACTGCTCAGTTGCAGTCAGATGTTTCATGGCAATACTACGGTGGCCGAGAAGTGCAAAGCAAATCACAATTCTGAAAACAAAATAACAAATTACAAACGCAAATGGAAGTCTAAAAAACAAAATAACAATTCAGAAAGCACAACAACAATTCAGAAAACATTATAACAAGTCAGAAAACACAATGACAAATTCGAAAACAAAATAACAAGTCAGAAAGCACAACGACAAATCCGAAAACAAATTAATAAAAGTCAGAAAACACAACGACAATTCAGACAAACCGGAAGAGGTATTTATAGTTTGAGACAGCACCATTGGTTTGGGATTACTCACCGCTGACTGGACGAGACATCTGTCAATCAAACAATACGGAGTATATATTTACATTTAGTTAAAAGTGGCTGTAAAACACCAGCTCCAGTGGTGCAGATGGATAAGCCCTAATCGTTGGCATTTTGATGCGTTCGGCAAAAGGTGGGATCGAACCCGGGTCGATCGCGTCAAAATCCAAGGGCAAGCACTTATCCACCTGCACCACTGGAGCTGATGTTTAATGGCCACTTTTAACTAAATGTAAATAGACACTCCGTATTTTTTATTCCATTGTAAGGGCAATTAATACAATACATTTAAACTGAGCTACTTTACTACCATCTCCGAACTTTCTACCACGACTCTGCTGTTCTTCGGCTGGATCTTCTCTGTATACATTGATTGACAGATGTCTCGTCCAGTCAGCGGTGAGTAATCCCAAACCAATGGCGCTGTCTCAAACTATACCTACCTCTTCCGGTTTGTCTGAGTTGTCGTTGTGTTTTCTGACTTGTTATTTTGTTTTCGGATTTGACATTGTGTTTTCTGACTTGTTATAATGTTTTTCTGAATTGTTGTTGTGCTTTCTGAATTGTTATTTTGTTTTTTAGACTTGCATTTGCATTTGTAATTTGTTATTTTGTTTTCAGAATTGTGATTTGCTTTGCACTTTACGGCCACCGTACAATACTGTATAGAGAGCACCAGCTGGGTTCCAAAAGTAAAGATCTCATTTATGTCATGATAACTGATTGAGTCCACTAATCAGAATCAAAACGAGCTAATTCCACCAGAAAACTCTTTAGCAATGCCTGTTCCCATGAAGCGCTGCAAATGATATACATTCAGTTTCCCTACGCTCTCAAACTACTTAAATATTTGTTTATATATGCATATTTTGCAATAAATTTATCATATTGCTTCTAATATAAGCATTTTTGAATCAATAGTTTAATATTTCTCCATCGTTTTTATTTTGATTGTCATATTGTTCTTTCCCTCATTAAAACCATTAAGTCTTGTATCTTTTTGTTCAAATTTCAAATAGTTTTTTTAATTCAAATCAAATTTGCATTCACCTCATAGCTTGTTGGTTTGGTTCATGGCTTACAACTTTCCAACAAAGCCTTTTTAAAAATCCCAATGGTAACATACAGTATAATGGCGTTACATTGCGGGCGTCCTGAATTTGAATCCCGGCTTGAGGACATTTCCAGACACCCCCCCGCCCTCTTCTTCTCTCTTTCCCACTTTACTTCCTGACTACTCTACACTGTCCTATCATAATTAAAAGCAAAATGGCAACAACAAAAAAATCAGACTGAAAAAGTGGGTGTTTTTTTCTTCCCTTTTTGTATTTTGTGAATGACCTCAGAGGACTGAAGTATTGATATGCTGTCGCAGCGTTCATCTTTATTGCTAGGCAGGGGTGCATTTTCCAAAACCATCGTTAGCTAAATATAGTCGTTAGTTCTATTGAACTCTATTGGTAACGACAGAACTTGCAACCATAGTTGCTTTTGGGAAACACACCTCAGATTGTTTTGTAAATTGTAATGGACTATTCTTAGCTGGAACGTTGACCAAGTGCTTTTATCTTTCTTTATTTCTACCTTTCTTACTCTTTTTACCCACTGTATATATATATATATATATATATATATATATATAGGTAAAAATGTAAAATAACTAACTTAAATCAATATTTTATATCGACGTATTTATCTGGTAATTATGCATGTGTAATCTGGGGATAGTGTACCATCAGCAGGTTATTACAACAAAAAATTCCATTACACATTGTAGTTCTGTTCACCATCAGGGTGAATAACTGGCTGAGTTTGACTATACAATACATTATCTCTTACACAGTGTTCTGTTTCTAGTGTGAGAATATGTGTGCGACAAGATCAGTTTTTTGTTTCCTGTGTGTTTTTCAGAGAGCGGGTTAGTTTGGTTTCACTCTAATTACAGCCTGTAGATGGAGAGTGGTTGGCAGAGGCACTGAGAGGGCACACAGTGTGCCTGGTTTCCTCTTGCTGTTGCAGGATCAGGGCCAGCAGCCACCATGTTTTCACTGAGTGGCCGCCGTACCGCAGTGTTCTCATCACCGTCTCTGGAGACAGCTAAAGAAAACAGATGCTCTAAATGGCACCTTACTCTTATAGCACCCAGAGGAGTCTTTCAGATAAGAGTCAGTCTGCGTACTTTATGAGTACGCCTGTGCTTTAAATCTTGTAGGCAAATTTGATATTTTTCCCTTTTGAAATGTCTTTTTAATGGGCTTTTTAAGCCTGTGGAAGGTCAGTTGAACAAAACATTGCTAATAAAATTTCCTAATGATGCAAGTTGTAGTCTACAGGATTTGTAAATTTTTTGTAGTTTAAATTGGCCTTTTTGTTACTTTTGTTACTTTTAGGACACAGTTGGTGTCCATTATAGAATAAAAAGACATGGCATTGATAATAGATTTTCTTTGATTTTGTGATTCAGGAAGATGCACTCTAAGACATTCACATGATTATGCATACAATGCTCTGAGAGAATTGTGATCAGCACATTTTGTTCTAATGCTGCCATCTTCTGGAAGCTACATGTACTTGCACACACAAGTAAGTGAACAAGAGGAACAGTATTTTGATAAGGCACATTTTTCTTTATGTAATCTCTCAAATGTATATCATGTCAGAATCCAAGTTAATGTATAAATGACAGAGTAAACAAGTACACTAATAAAAAAAAGATAAAAGATCAGCGTTCTAGAAAGTTCCAGTATCTAGATCTCAAAATCCAAGTTCATAGCACTGAGCAGTCTATCTGGAAGTTGCATTTACCTTTGATTTTACAGTTGAATTCTACAGACCATTTAATTTCTCTTCTATT